AAGGAAGGAAGGAAGGAAGGAAGGAAGGAAGGAAGGAAGGAAGGAAGGAAGGAAGGAAGGAAGGAAGGAAAAATACATATACTATATATGGTACACAATTATAAAAATTATATTTTTTATATGGATGGCAGTGTGGTAGATTTGTTGATACTCACATTGATACAATCACAAGAGTAATGCATTGTGCTGTGACTTAAGTTGGCTATGGCATCACTAGATGAAAGGAAGTTTTCAGCCTTTTCAACTCTTTTGCAATCTTATAGGACCACTATCATGTAGATTCTTCGATGACTTTGTTATGTGATGCATAATTATATTTAAATTTTCTATTAGATATTGTTTATACCCAGCAGCCTTCCAGTGCACTAGGACTAGAGCCTGTGCTTAGAATTGACTTTTTTTTTTTTTTTTTTTAGGGTAAGTGTAATAAAGACAATAAAGATCTGAAAGGTTCCTATGCATTGAGACTAATGTCAGGACTATTATACAGGTATCGTGCTTGGCTGCCTAGTTTTGCAGATGTGAGGAGGAAGCATAACTGTATTGTATGATAAGTACTATGAAAATGGAACTCGCTGAGGTTTTCAAATTAAATGAGACCTATGTCCTTGTTCAAGTCGTGTAAAACTGAAGTTTATGTGTATGTGTATTAACTTACCTCTGTGCTGGTCAGGTTTTTATTTGGTCCAGATAAATATGGGATAAGGAATGGTTCTGAGGGTCTCATCATGGAGAAAAATCCAAATAAACAGAGGATCACAGTGGGATAAATCCAGGAATTGCTCAGTGAAGTTCTCAAACAATCCATGGCTAATCAAATGGAAACAAAGCAAAAATTAAGTAATCTCTTCCTTTCTTTTTTCTTTTTTGGAGGTGCTGGGGATCAAAACCAGAGCCTTATGCATGCTAAGCAACTGTTCTATCTCTGAGCTCCATCTGGGGACCCTCTACATGTTTTCTGAAAGGCTAGAGTTTCATCCATTTGTGTTGAAACAAAAAGGTGAATAATGAATAGGTGTTCTCAAATGTTGCTCAGGTGAGTCAGTCATGCCCTCCTCTGTCAATTAACTTCTTTTTAATTATCACTGAGGGAAGCAACAATGGTTATAAGTAGCTAGTAGTTATTGAGAAGCAGTGGGCCAACACAGGAACGAACCTAAGGAAAGCGCTAGCCAGTGGACTGGTGTACATGGGCCAGGTAAAGCACTTCCAAGAGAACAGGTGGAGCTACTCCAACCTTCCACTCCCTGCCCACTCCACTGGGCAGTGATTCCGAGACTGTCCGCACAAGGGCAGCATTTGTTTATTCATGCATTCACCTCTCCAGCCGACTGTACTTGCCTAGCATTTTGCTAGACACAGAATAAATACCCAAGATATTTGTTAGGTGTGTCCCATCTTCTAAGAATTTATAATTCTTCAGTTAGAAGATTAAACTGGACAAAGACCTGACTTGCTGACTTTTGTCACTGGTAGGCTATTACTTTTTATTTGTATTTTATTTTTGGGGGGCACTGGGGCTGTGAATGCTGGGCAAGCCCACCACCACTGGCCACACCTCTAGCTCTTCTACTTTTCATCGTAACTGGGCTCTTCTCGAATCCTGCGGTTTCACACCACTCAATGTGGGCAGGTAGTCAATTAATACTTTATACTTTTTCCTAGCACAGAAATTACCTGAAATTCAAACTTCAGACATATAACACAAGAGGCTCTCATTTGTCATCCCACAGCAAACAAACAAAACTAGCCTTATTTTATGGTGGCTGAACTTGAAAACATTTGTTTTGTCTTGATGATTACAGTGTGTGCAAGCATACTCATTCCTATGCCTTCATGTTTGAGATTCAGCTTAGCTGTATTTTTGGTGGTCCTGATTGTGGTTAACTTCTGAGAATATTCACAAGAAGGAAACTAACCTGTTGTAGGATGCTTTTCTGTGTATTATCTTATTAAAGCCTCATAGCAACTATAAAATACATCATTTCCCCAAATTCTGAGTTGACTGTACAGAAAATCCGTGATGTTCAATGACTACATTCAAACCACATGGTTAAGTCCTGAAGCTAGGTGTCCCCAGCTCCCATTAGGATGCTCCCCCCGACTCCACTGGCCTCACTCCTGTGGCCCCTCCCCTCTGCTGCAGCGGGTAACTAATGACACCTTCTTTTCACAGTGAGGAAAGGAAATGTTTTCACAAACATGTCCACATGTTTGTGGCTTAATCACATGTGTGGCTTAATCTAGAGAGCTTCCAGAGGCTATGAAGGTTTGAAAGTGGGCCAGAGAGAGGTAAAAGGGTGCTTTTTCCAGAAGAACTAGTCTCCTGGGTGGAACTCCAGGTGTCCAGGCATAGGATCTTGCTGAGTCACGCCAAAGCTTGTCACCTACCCAGCTTTGTCACAGCATGGCTCCAAACAGATGCATGGTTTTTCTCTTAAGTTAAATAAGGTAAACACCATTTTTTAAAGAAACAGTGTAGAGAACAAGATGATCCGATTTTGGAACCAGGATTGTGACAACAGTGAGCAATGATGACAGTGTAAAAGTTCTGTCCAGGGCAAATCGGGGTTGACGGTCCTTGGCTTATTCCCTCACACCAGAAATCATGGGCTTTCTCTTCTTCCTGGGGTGCCGCTGGGTTTGCTGGGAACTTCTCACAGGAAAGGGCATCCTTGCTAGTCCATTACTAAGGTCATCTTTTGAAGGGTGATCTTGATGGGGTGGCATGTGCTGACTCCACAGCTGGAACATTCTGTCCGTCTGTGCTGACCATGGATTGGACAACCAACTCCAAGTCATCTTCTCCATGTATCGCAGAGACCTAGGACTACTCCCATGGCTGCCGGCTGTCAGAAGGCCCCTGAATTCCTGAACTGTCTCCTTATGCTCGGGATATTGCTGCCCATCTAGATATAGCTGAGAAGGTCAAGCAGAAAAATATAACAGATGTCCCCTAGAGTGTGAGCCCCAGGAGGGCAGGGCCTATTGTCCGGTTCACTACAGCACCCTGAGTGTCTCAGACAGTGCCTGATACATGGTAGGCCCTCAAGGAAGACGCTGAATAAATGGGATAAACAAGCAACTCCAGACTGCTTGGTTAAGAACAGGCAAGGTATAGGAGCCGGGGACGGCAGAACTGCAGAAGGGATAACTACTCCAACCCCGACCCCTGCCCCGCTGAGAATAAGAATAAGTGCTGCCTGGTTTTCCTGGGTGAGCTTCTCTTTCAAGTTTCATCAGTGAAAGACCAGGGAGATCCTCGATTCTGCAAGAACCTTGCAGTTCAGTTTCTCATCTGTAAAATGGGACAGCAACCTTGGCTGCACCAAGACCATTAACTCTTCTCCTGGGGAGCTTGTAGCCTATGGTCTCACTAATACATGGAAGTCATTACATATCTATCACCATCTTTCATTTTTATTTTTATTTAGCACTTGGGATTGAACCCAGGCTGTTCTATCACTGAGCTAAATACCCCAGCCCCTTTTATTTTTTATTTTGAGACAGGGCCTTGCTAAGTTGCTGAGGTTAGCCTTCAACTTTTGATCCTCCTACCTCAGCCTCCTGAGTTGGTAGAATTAAAAGCATGCACCACTGAGCCCGGCTTTCTGCTGCTTCTAACCCAGTGACTGTGTCCCACAGTATGTTAGTGTATATTGTGACCACATATGTATGTTTATATATTTTTGCTAACCTAAACAAAAGTTGCAGAAAAAAACTTGACTGTACTCTGTAATGCCTTCTGATAATTACTATTTTTTGCCTCATTAAAAAAAAAAAAGTGTGCTTGCAACTCACTGGATTTCTTTGACACCACAGTCTGAAAAACACAATATAAAACAATGGAATTGGAATGTTGCAGATAGCGCTGTGCTTTCTTGATATAAGGTAAGAGGAAAGATTAGTGAGGCTAGAATTAGAAAAACCGAGTCCAAGTCCCAGCTCTGATGTGAAAACCAGCACAATTCTTATTCCCTCTGGCTTTCCTTTCTCCTTTGGCTGCAGGAGAATAGTAACTGTTTCTCATCTTATGAAAAAAGCCACAGCCCTCCCCCAGGTACCTTAGTGTCCTACCATTCCATATCCAACTCTGTCTATTTTGGGCATTTCCAAACAAGGCCACAGATTTTTATTGCTTCCCTATTGTTGGTAGAAGAATGATAATTTCCTTGCTAAGATATCTAACGCTACTTCATTGTAAGAGGCTCAGATTTTTTCTTTCTTTCCTATAAAATGTCAGATTTTTTTTTTGTATTTGACTTGGTTCAAGTTTGCCTGGAGTGGCTTCTCACCACTTTGTTTTCATCTACCTTGGGAAGATTTCTTTTTATGTCACCTCTTACATGCTTGTAGTTTCTTGGTATAAGAGTTCATTTTATTCTCTTCTCTTTTTTTTTTTTCCAATTATTACCATGTTGTTGACTTTTTTCCACTTTGAACCACTTCCTTTAGTTGTTTTTTCCTTTCAGTAAGAAATAATACCATATTTGAAACTAACATAATTGGGACACTTTAACACAGAGCCCCTGCCTCAGGCCTTTTTTGTATTTTACTTAGAGACAGGGTCTCACTGAGTTGCTTAGGGCCTTGCTAAGTTGCTGAGGCTGGCTCTGAACATGATCCTCCTGCCAAAGCCTCCCGAGCTGCTGGGATTTCAGGTGTGTGCCTCCGTGCCTGGCAACTTAATTCTTACATTGACTGCAAGATGTACTCATTGGCCATCTTAATTCTGTGGTTTGGAGGGAAAAAATCTTTCTTCTTCTGTTTTGAAAATAGGAAGCATAACAGACTACGTCATTGCCAGGATCCCAGAAGTGAGCTACTAGAGCAGGTTAGAGCACATTTACTAATTCCACTGCTGAGTTTCCTTTAGTCAGCTTTCACTTACAGAGTTATTGTGTACATTATGCCCTTCCCCAACTTGTGCACATAAACGTTTTCAGGTGTTGGCCATGTATTTATTGGGGGAAGCTTATGTGCTTAATTGAGAACTTAAGTCAACTTGCACCTTATCTAAATTTCAGATACGGACAGTGTCTTTATTTCCTAACCCGTAGGTAACTTGTGTTTATATACACAACAAAACTCTGTGGCTGCAGATATTTCTAGGTGTATTCCATTTGTGTGGAATAGGCAACTATTAAAAGCCAAGAACCGCAGAATCCTGGCATCACAGGAGGCTTCCAGAAGCCCTGTGTGGGGGAGGGTTTCCACCCAGGAGGAGCCTTAGCTGACTGAGTCTTTCCAAGAGAGGAGGACAGTGGAAAGGAATCTCTTCTTCAAATCCCCTCCCATGTTTGCTTAGAAGATACTGTCAGAATCAACCCAGATGCCAAAAACGTTCAAGGAAGCTGTCTAGAATCCCCAGTCTCCACCCAATTCCAGCCCAACCCCTGAGACAGGGTGCCTGATGGGGCACCCCATCTTCACATTCCTCCCCAGAGCTTTACTGCAGTCAAATGAGAGCAACAGCTTGATCATTTAAAATAATAATCTTACAGCCTCAAAATTCCAAAGGGTTCGGGCAGCTGAGCCACAGACATATGCAAAAGATGTCACTTGTCCCAAGACAAAGGAGCCTTAGTGTGTTCCGAAGGAAAAGCCAGCTGTTTTATTGCTTCTGCACACAGGGCAGAATCATGCTGGGGCCACAGGTGTGGCAGGTGTTCCCCTCATACCAGGCACACTTTGGACACCAACTGGGTGTCTGCTGATTCGACTCAGTCCTGAGGCTGTCACCTGGAGAAAGTAGATAGCGATTCCCCAGGTTAGGGACTCAGTCCCACAAGGCTGCAAGTAGGCTGTCATCTATAGCTCTGACAGACTGGCTGTAAACTGGGTTCCCACTACTCCCTTCTTGAGTTCAGTTAATTTTCTGTGATGGTTCCAAGAGCTCCCCTGAACATATTTACTGCCTGCCCCTGCTTCCCTGGTACTGGGGATTGAACCCAGGGGTGCTCTACCACTAAGCTACATCCCAGCCCTTTTCATTTTTTTAAATTTTGAGACAGGGTCTTGTTAAATTGCTCAGGCTGGCCTGGAACTCACCATCTTCCTGCCTCTCACTGAGATTACAGGCATGTGCCACTGTACCTGATGGTTTGCTGGCTTTTTATAAGGGCTGTTTCAAAGGACATAAATGAACAGTCAGATGAAGGATGGACGCCAGGAGGAGGTATGGGGGCCATGGAGCTCCAATGCTTCCCTATAAGGGGTGCCAACCCACCAGCATCTGTGTGTCCAGCAAACCAGCTCTTCCGAGCTTATGGTTCAAGAGTTTTCAGACCTTGATCTCCAGCCCCCCCACCCCCACTTCCTGGAATTCAAGCCCTCTAATCTGTAATCACTGGGTCTCCCCAGTGACTAGGTCTAGGGGCCTCACTCTAAGATAAGCTCATTAGCAGAGACCCAGAGTTATCCACGGGTCATTGTGAAAAACACAAACATTCCTACCACTCAGGAACTTCCACCAGTTTCAGCTTCGTGAGAGCAACCTGGGAAGATGACCAAACACTGCATATTTCCTAGTAGTTACGTTTTCTAAGGAGTTTACATTTTCAGCTTTCCATATTGCCAGTCCAGACTCTCATCAGACAGAAGCAAACTAAAAGTCTGATTACTAAAAATAAAAATATTTGCTTTTAGCTGATAGCAGAGTATAACAACAATTATGCCTTTTATCAACTTATTACTAAAATAGAGAATTTAATTTTGAATAAAACATCCAAATAAAGCAGAGTTGCAGTCTGCTTAACTCAAGGCAAGTTGCTGGAGGAGGCCTGGGTTAGCAATCCAGGCAACTTAAAGAATGATTCATAAAAGAAGGAGAGGGAAGGAGGGAGGGAGGGAGGGAGGGAGGGAGAGACAGGACTACACTATCAACTGGATTTCACAGCTATTCATCCAGAGATACCCTTTAAAACACGTTAAGGGAAGGTGCACACTTAAAACTTAGTGCTGACATTAGACAAAAGAACTGTGTCCAAATAAATAATGAATTCCTAAAATTCAACAATAAAATATGAGCAGAAGATCTTAATGCTTCATAAAAATATAGTAAATTATCAGGAATCACAAGGTAAAATGATGAGAACATCTCACAACCACTAGAATGACTAAGCACAAAAAGACAAGCAACCAAATATTGGCAAAGACTTTGAGCCACTGAATTTGTATACACTGCTTGTGGGAATGTAAAATGATAAACAACTCTTTGGAAAATTATTTTCAGTCTATCCAAGAAAATTGGTATATTCATAACAACAAAAAAGCAAGAAGCAACTGAAGTGTTCATTAAATGGGGAATGTACATATTATGGTGTATATTAACAACTAATAGCAACGAGAAATAAAAAAAAATAGTGCACTACTTCAAAAACTTGGGTGAATATTGAAAACAGGATATTTTGTCCCAAAGAATCCAGACACAAAAATGTACATAAAGTCCTAAAGCAAATCAAACTAATCTATGATGATAAAAACTTGATCAGTTGTTGCCTGGAGTAAGAGGTAGGAAAGAACTGATTGCAAAAGAGCACAAGGCACTTTTGGGGGTGATAAAATGCTCTGTATTTGATTGTAGAGAGGGTTACAAACTGCTGTCCAAAGTCACATGCTGCATGCTTATAATGTACAGTTTATTATATGCAAATCATACCTCAACAAAGATTATTTAATACATGGAACAGAACAAATGAATCTTAAACACCATTCTTCCTAAAAGAACCCAGACACAAAAAAGACAAGCTATATGATTATATTTGTATCAAGTCTCCAGACAAAACCACAGTACTTTAGGCAGATATCAGAATTATCATTTCTGAGATTGGGGGTCACTGACTGAAGAGGGAAACTTTTGGTTTGATTAAATAGTCTATGTTTTGATGGGGTAGAGTTACATGGATATATGCAATTAGAAACAATGAAACTTAAAGTCTGTATCTATACCACATGTGACTCATTCCTCATTTTAAGCAAATGCACCATTTCCCCCTACACAACCCTCTCAGCTTGGACCTTGGCTACTGGAACAACTATGAAGGTTAATCTCAAATTTCAGCACAGGGCAAGACTTCTACATAATCACAAAACAGAGCAAGATCTTTGAATCTCGGTCTGTCCCAGAAAGTTTAGATTGGAAATAGTGCCCATAAATCAAAGCTAGGACAGGCTAACAAGTCTAGCAAGTCTGGCCAAGTAGAACACTCTTTAAACTAATTCAGAGAGAATGGGTTACCTGTTCCTCCTGTACGCTAAATTTATCTCTCTCTGTAATCAGAATTGTTGTCCTGACTTCAAATTGAACTTCTGCTCTTTCCAGCTGCCAGCTGCTGCAAATCCCAGTCACAATGCCCCTTCTTCCTCTGTCAGGAGCCTTTCCTCCTCCTTCAGAACTGACCTGTCACAGCAAGGTCTCCCACCCCATTTCCAACGTTGAGTCCACGCCCTTCAGTAACCACCCTCTTTTGGAACCCCAAAGGAAAAAACAGATTCTACCTACACCGAGGAGACCTGGCTGCTCGGTGGGGGAGGGGGAAGACCCTTCCTGAGTGCAGGGGGTGGGGAGAAAGGATCACAAAGGTCTCCAGAACTTTCGACATGACCATTAGACAGACACTGAGTCTGGGCGGAAGAAGATTTAAATATGGTGCCACAAACCCGCCTGACCAGTGCCTCGGGACCAGATTGCACTTCCCGCAGGAGAGGGTGAGAGCTAGGACCGGGATCCACCTATATGTGCACGGAGGAGCAAGGTCTCCACGCACGATGTTGAAAATCCTGTTTTCAACAACATCTTCAAGGTTCAACAGTCTCCATCTCTCCCCACTCCCCGCTTCCCTTCTTGTTTCTCCTCAGCCCCCAAATCTGCCCAGGAAAAACTGTCTGGCCAGCCCCGCTGGCAGCTCTGAACTGCAACAGGCTGGATGATAGAGTCGGGTGGCCTTAGGTCTGACCATTTCCCGGTGCACCAGCCACAGCCTGGCAGTTTGGAAGGTCCAGAGCTGGGGGAAATTCTCCCGGGACTCCCAGAGCCGTGGTGCGCCCCTGTACTCACTGAGACTCATGGTGCGGGACATCTACCTAAGCAGAGGACTTTAACACTCCCGCCTACAGCAAGACACCCGTGGCCGCCCTCCCGGAGATTAAGCCCTGGAGACTCAGACCCACAGTGACAGCTGTGGCGTGAGGAGGCTGCAACTGCGAAGAAGTAGCGTGCTGGGGCGAACAGGGTCCTGTGCACGAGTGCTGTGCGCCCTGGGGAAACAGCAAGTGAGCGCACACTCGCTGCACCAGAAGTGCAGGGCATTCTCCTTAATCAAGATTCAGTTGGGCATCGTGCCCAAGGGAAGGCAGGCTTACCGGCAGCTGGCCCCTGGGACAAGCCATTTCACCCCGAACACAAGCTGCTCTTCCAGCCAGCCTGGGAGGTTCCATCGAACCATCCTAAGAGATTTTTACATGACAGGAACATTATAAGATCTCTGTAGCCTTTAACCCTGGCTTTTTTTTTTTTTTTAGTATGTAAAATCCTGTACTAATTGTACCTATCCGTTCTGTTTCTCTTACCATCTTCAACACTATGGTACACTCTCACCCTCTCTCTTCTTGCTCATCATGACACATCAAGGAAACAAAATTACTGACCAATATCCCTGATGAACACAGAAGAAAAAATTCTCAATAAAATATTAGCAATCTGCATTCAAAAGCACATTAAGAAGATTGCACAACCTGATCAAGCAGGTTTCATTCCAGTGATGCAAGGTTGTTTCAACCTATCAAATTAATAAATGCAATTCATCACATGAATAGAAGCAAGGACAAAAATCATAAATCATCTCAATAGATGGAGAAAAAGCCTTTGACAAAATCCAGCACCTACTGATGTAAAAAACACTGAAAATGTATGGATAGAAGAAACATACCTCAGTGTCATAAAGGCTATATATGACAAATCCAAAGCTAATATCATATTGAGCAGAGAAAAACTGAAAGCATTTCCTCTCAAATCAGAAACAAGACAAGGACGTTCACTCTAACTATTCCTATTCATATAGTTATCAAAACTCTAGCTAGAGCAATCAGGCAAGAGAAGGAAATCAATAGGATACAAAGAGGAAGAGAAGAAGGCAAATTTTCTGTTGCTGACAACATGCAATACTTTCTAAGAAAATCCAAAATGTTCCACCAGAATATTTCTAGAGCTGATGGATGAATGAATTCAGCAAAGTAGCAGGATACAAGACCAATATACAAAAATCAATAGTTTTCCTATAGCATCAAAAAACAAAACAAAAACAAAAACAAAAAGAAAGAAAGAAAGGAAGAAAGAAAGAAGGAAGGAAAGAAAGAAATTATATTATTGCTTGGGAATAAATCATCTAACCAAAGAGGTGAAAGATGTCCACATTGAAAACCATAGAACAATGAAGAAAGAAATTGAAGAAGACCTTAGAAGATGAAAAGAACTCTATGTTCTTGGATAGGCAGAACAAATATTATCAAAATGGCCATAGTATCAAAATCAATAATCAGAGTAAATGCAATTCCCATCAAAATACCAATGATACTCTTTGTAGATCGAGAAAAAGCAGTCTTAAAATTCATATGGAAGAAAAAAAGAGCCAGATTAGCCAAAGCAAGGAAGCTTACGACATGAGTTCAATTTCTAGCTCCCCCCACCCTCTCTCTCCCTCTCTCTCTCTCTCTCTCTCTCTCTCTCTCTCTCTCTCTCTCACACACACACACACACACACACACACACTCACACATAACCACAGCAATATTGAGCAATAAGAGTGATGCTGGATTTCACAGTACCTGATTTAAAATTGTTAAAGAGCTATAATTATAAAAGCAGCATGGTATTGGCATAAAAAGACACGGAGACTAATGGATTAGAATAGAAGGCACAGAAATAAATGCACATAGATACAGTCATCTAATTGTTGACAAAGGTGCCAAAAAAGTATGCTGGAGAAAAGACAGCACTTTTAACAAATGGTGGTGAGAAAACTGGATATCCATATATAGAAAAATAAGACTAGATCCTCATCTATCACTCTGCATAAAAACCAACTCAAAATGGATCAAAGACCTAGAAATTAGATCAGAAAACTGTGCAGCTGTTAGAAGAAAACAGGGTCAACACACCAAAATACTGGTACAGCACTGATTTCTTTAACAAAATTCCTAAAGCTCAAGGAATAAAAGCAATAATAAATCAGCAGGATGGCTTCAGATTAAATAGCTTCTGCACAGCAAAGGAAACAACTAAGAACGTGAAGAGAAAGCTTACAGAATGAGAGAAAATCTGTTCAACTACTCTTCTGATGGAGATTAATATTCAGAATATAGGTATATATATATATATATATATATATATATATATATATATATACACACACTATTCAAAAAATTAACAACAAAAATAAATAAACCAATCAATAAATGGGAAAAAGAATTAAAGACATTTCTCAAAAGAAGAAATGCAAATGGCCAAGAAATATGTGAAAAAATGCTCAATTTCCTTAGCAATCAGGGAAATGCAAATCAAAATTATAGAGATTTTATCTCACTCCACTTAGATGGAAATCATCAAAACTACAAATAATAATAAATACTGGTGAGGATGTGGGATAAAAGGTACACTTACACATTGTTGGTGGGACTTCAAAGCAGTGCAACCACTTTGGAAAGTAGCATGCACAGTCTTCAAAAGACTAGGAATGGACCACCATATAACCCAGCTCTCCCACTCCTTGGTATTTACCCCAAAGTATTTACCTAAAATCAGTATACTGTGGAGATACAGGTATATCAAGGTTTATAGCAGCACATTCACAATAGTCAAGTTAGGGAACCAGCTTAGGTGTCTCTCAATAGAAGACTGGATAAAGAAAATGTGGTTATGTATACACAACAAAGTTTTACTCAGCCATAAAGAAGAATGAAGGAATGGAAATATGGCATTTGCTGGTATAGGTAACTGGGAGACATAATGCTGAGTGAAATAAGCCAGATTCATAAAATCATATGCAGAAACTAGGATAAATATGAATTTTTAAAAAGCAGCCTAGCAGGGGAATCATGTAAACAGAAGGGAGTGAATTAGAGGGATGGGATGGAGGGGAGGGAAGATAAATGGAAAAAGAGTGGAATGGCAGAATAAAGTTAACCCAACTTCCTCACTTCCTATGGCACGTAGAAACATATCACAATAAAGTCCACTTTTCTTGTTAACTATAATGCACCAATTAAAAAATAAATCAATAAAAAAACCAAAGCTTTGAAATATTAAAAAAAAAAAAGCAAAAAACCTCTTGCTAAAGAGGTAAAGATTTGATCCTTACTGTTTGGATACAGTTTTTGTATAAATAATCTTGCATTTCCCCATTTAAATAATAAAAATTTTAATTGTTTAATCAAATTAAAATTTATTTAGATATATTTTACTATGAACAGTATTGTCTCCTATATTATTATGAATACTACTATTATTATTAAAATATGTTCCAAGTCTGTCAATAAATATGAGGGCAAGACAGCAACAATTCACACTGAAATTTATTGGCAGGGAAGGTTCGAGAAATTTTATACCTAAATTTCCCAAATCCTGAGTAATTTATTTTCCAATTTACTGATCCCAAATTTCAGGAGTTCTTAACACATACAAAGAGTTTCAAAAGAGTTCTTGCAGCAAAGAACATTAAAACAAAAATTGAAGATAATAAATTACATGAATTCATTGACAAATATACCATAATTTTTTGATTTTGAAAATTATTTAGATATTCATTTTGATTAAATAAATTATTATGTCTAGTAGTTCTGTGGGAGATGAAAAATATTAAATATTAAAAAAACCCTTTACATTTTAATTTATACTAAAAAACAACACAAATTTTATATTTAAATTATAGAGTGTCCAGTTTAAAAGTTGTACATTCAATGTTCCATAAGAAAAGTTAGTCCAGAGGAATGGGATGGAGGGGAATGATGGTATATATAGCCAATTATATAAAGGACATATCAACTTAAAATTTTACTTTTTCATATTACAAACTAAGGAGATTGGATTATAAGAAACATAGAGGGAAAAAGGTAGACACTGAAAAAATTAAAGGGAAGATTTGGAATAACTTGTAATAAATCATTTTGACTATCAAATTTGAAAATTTTCATTAGCTATCTATTTATAATGGTCCCACTCTATAAAACTTCATTTTCATTTGATAAAAAATTTGATAAATGTGGTATATACCAGTGAGTTTTACTCAGCCATAAAAAATAATAGAAATTATGTCATTTGCTGGTAAATGTATGGATTTCATAAATATTCTTAAAAAATATTTTCTTTTAATTGATGACCAAGGAAAGGATTTATTTAAATGAAATTTTGAATCTTTCTTATTTCTTACTGAATTGGTTTACTTGATTACATGCACATCTATTTGCTATTAATTAA